AGCTGTTATAGCATTGAGAATTATGATGGATGTAAATGGTTTTAGCGACGCTAATCGGAGAAACCCGATTCGATTCCTGTTTTACAAACTTTTTATACAGACGGGTCTTAACATATTTAAGGTGAGCCAAGTGTTTGGTTGACAACGAAGGACTGTTAGAGGATTTATAAGCTATGTGTGTATCATGCGTTCAATGTGGCTGGAACGACAAGACAAAGAATTAGCCTTTGTTAAGAGCCGTAGCGGTTTTATTTCACCCGAAAAGGAAAATTCTTAAGGGAAATTTGCTAACAAGCTAGTTAAATTTTCTTATGTTAAAGGGAAATCCGAAAATGTTATCAAATTCATTTAAAAAGAACGGCCAAATGATGACACGTCTTCATTTGCTGCGTTATAATTTCAAACTTTTTTATTTCATAAAGTTTCCTAGCACGTAACATTAGTGTGATTCGTATTCTATTCTTATTTATGGCCTACGCAAAGACCGCGTCTGTTTGTTCACTCAGATTTGAACATTATTCAAACATGAACACGTATAAATATACGTATATGAGCTGAACATAGCAGCCTTTTGATGACCTCCTGCGTTCAAAGTAGTTGTGATATCCCTTATCGCACTTAATAATGTTTTCCGAAGTTAGGGATAAACAAACCACTCCTTTGGATATTAGAAATAAGATAATAGTCCCGATTATAAGATTTTATGAGCATATCATTTTGTCAATCGATCCAGAGCCATAATTTTCGATCTTTTACCATGCAAGAGAACAGTTGTTAGCACTTGTAATCTGTAAGTGCAGGCCACTTGAGCCTCTGAATATTATCACTTAAAATATTTCCCACACTGTACAAGCTCTCCCGCTCAGTCCCAACAGTGCGTAGGCCTTAGATAAGAATAGAATATGAATCACATCAATGTTACTTGCTAAGAAACTTTATTAAATAAAAACAGTTCGAAATTATAACTCAGCAAATAAAGAGGTGTCATTATTTGGGCCTTCTTTTCATTATTGGTCCTTCGAGGCACTCTGCAGTTTTCCCCCACCAGTGCTAAGAGACTCAGAGTTATAAACCAGCTTCTTAAGTTTTGTATGTACTGCAGAAAAATAGAAATCTTTTGTTCCCCCCACCCGTGGTAAGGCACAGAGTATAACATTGTAAGGAAAAAGATACAAAAGAATCTTCTTTTGTTTTTAATAAAGCTAAAGGTTGCTATATAAACCAATTTTTTTCAAAATCGTGGTAAGGCGTGCTTATAAAAAGATAAGGTACGACCAGGTATTGTCGACAATTAATTAATTTAAGATCGACTATGAGGCTCTAAAAAAAGAGGCAGAGGTTAAAAAAGGGCAAATACATCCGTTAATAGATCAAAAAAATAAGCAGCTTAGGGAATATTTAGATAAAACGTTCCTAGAAACTCGAAGCCAGAAAAGAGAAACTCTGCGAATTAAAAAAATTTTAATTCATTTCCTCTGGGAGAATCTAAGTACCTCCATACAATTTTTTCGGAACAGCTAAATCGCCTTTTAATTTTAAGTATTGATTCTGTCAGGCAATTAAAAAATTGTATTGCCACCATTAATGAAGCGACACACATCTTAAAACTGATGGACAATCTGTCCCACGAAGTTAATGTGCTATTTGCTCATATGGTGCTCAAAAAATTGAATACCCTGACTCTTCAACTTTATGTGAGTCATATTAAAAAAACGAAAAACATCCAGAAATTATCGAATGTTATGGACTTTTTGAGCAGCGGCTGTGTTCGACTTGCTCTGTACAGGAAGAAAAGTCTATCCAAAAGACTTCCGGTACGCATAATAATTATAGCTTTTCCAGGCCTAATAATTTTGCAAATCGGAGGAAACGATGCCCAATCTGCAAAATTATGGAACATTCCATAACCCAATGTCACAAATTTAAAGGGTTGAATCCCGCAGAGCATCTTAACGGGCAGAGATGTACAAGCGAATATTTTTGTTCGCTTTGTAATTAAGCCCATCACACAATGCTGCATTTAAATACTCAAAAGAGAGAAATAGTCCACACTTGTGTGACTTTTTTCAACAGCTAGAATTAAAGTAAATTCTGCCAATAGCGGTTTTGAAAGCTAAAGAGCGCTGATAGACAGTGGATCCCAAACCACTATTGTATCAGAAGAGGCATTACAAATATTAAAGCTGCCAAAAATAAAATCTAAAGCTCAGATTAATGGGATATCTTCTAAAGGTACATGGGTATCAAAATATAAAATGAAAATTGTAATAAAATCCCCAAATTCTAAATGCCATTGGTCACCAAGGCAATTATATTGCCAAAATTAATGCAAGCTCTGCCGATTAAAGAAATAAATATAGATAAAGCAAAACGGCAAAATTTTTCATTAGCTGACACTTTAATAAACCAGTACGAGTTGATGTCATAATTGGAGCAGAAAGTTTTGGCAAAATGTATGGCCTGTTAGGTCAAATAGACATTTTGGGTGTATTATTTCTGGTTGTACCAAGTCTAAGGCCACTCACTCAATAGTTGCAACTATTACTGAAGAACAAGATTTAGAAGGATGCTGGGAACTGGAAAATAATGATAATTGATGATTCAAAGCCCCAAGAAATGCCACGGCTTATTAACATGGAGAAAAAATTCCAGCAGAATGAGAAAATAAGAGATGCCTATAAATCATTTAAGGGAGAATATATTGATCTTGGACATATGGTAGAGTCAAAAAAGGAGGGAAAATTTTACCTACCTCACCAAGCCGTAGTTGGGGACTCAAGTCTAACTACAAAATTAAGAGTAGTGTTTGACGATTAATGACATAACGTGGGTGGGTGACATAACGTGGGTAGAGTCCAAAAAGAAATTTTGGATATAATTTTGAATTGGCGTAAATGGAAATACGTTATATTAGCGGGCATAGAAAAAATGTGCCGACAGATATTTATTGATAACAAAGATCAAGAACATCAATATATATTACGGAGAGATTCTCCTGAAGGTAAAATAAAGTCCTATACATTAAAAACAGTAACCTATGGTACTTCATCTGATCCATATTTGGCTACTAGAGTTTTAGTAGATAAATTGGTAATATAATTAGAAACACATATTTTGGGTGTATGACTTCTGTTTATTTTATGCCCTTTTCCGAACAAATAAAAATGCACACAAGTTTTTAAATTCAAATATGGATTCGATGGCCGTTTAATGTTTGCTAAAAGGCAAAAAATATTTGTTGGTGGCTGAAGGCCTATATTGCGTTCCGTTTCGGGAGCGCCTAATTGGGGTTCTGAACCGAACATGCACCCCCCGTTGGAAGGCACAGGCTTTCAACAGACCCGTCTAGGAGGGGCAGGGCCGCAATCTTTCTCATATCCCATTTGAAAAGTTTCTTCTGGGTACAATTACTGATACTCTAATGGTTCCAACCAGCCCTGGAATAACGCTCTCAATGCGCCCAAGTGGCCATCTTAAATGCGGTAGCGTTTCCTCCTGGAGCATTACAATTGCTACTCGCTTGACGTTTTGAACTTGTGATCTCCACTTGCTCCATTTCCTCGAGAAACTCTGCTTTATTTGGCAAAGTCGCTGCCATCGGCTTAGAAGATTAACCTTGAGATACGTCACGTTCGGGTCGTCGAAGGCAGCATTCGCTTCCCCATTAAGGAAATGATTCGGAGTGAGCACTTCTAGGTCGTCAGTACTCTCTGTAATGGCATAAAGCGGTCGAGAACTAAGCAAGGCACCAATTTTTTATGTTAATGTTTGAATTTCATCAACAGTGAACGAGGAGGCGAGGAGGGATAAATTTCTAATCGATTCCATTTGAGACACAGGTATTCGACAATGATGATATATGAGGATCGCTTAGAAACAGTTGTCGAAGCTCCACAAGCTCGTTTTTAGCTCCAACGAAGTTTGTAGCGTTGTCTGACCAGATAACTCAAGGCTTGGGACGTAGACTTATGAATCTTTTTAGTGCGGCCAGGAAAGAATCCGTGGACAAATCCCGGACGACTACCAGAAGCGTCGCCTTGGTGCTGAAACATATAAAAACATCGATGTATCATTTGATCGGTGGCCTGCTCCTGATTTCCGACTTGTAATAAAAGGGTCCGCCAAAAATTAACGCCGGTTTTATGAAATGCTCCGAAGTGGGACTTAGCACTGGCTTTAAACGAAAGCACCGAACACACTTTCTGATGACGATTGCCACATATTGCCGTCCACCGATAGGCCAAAATTTTTGCCTAAGCAACCCGAGTAATTCTTGGGCTCCTGCATGCCTACATTTTTCGTGAAAAAGATAAATGCGGATGTTGCAACAGGATGTCCCTTCGGCAGCAAAATTGGATGTATAGCGTCGTAATCCAAATCGGAATTTTGGAGTCGGCCTCCAACTCGAATCAGACCAAAATTTTCCAAAAAAAAGTTTAGCGAAGCCATTGCGCTTCCTGGCGGTAATGACTGTTTACTTCTTAGGGTCTTTATCACTGCATCGATTTCCTGTCGCTGGACCGCTCTTATGAGCAGCCGCGTTTCTTTTGTCGATATCACTTACAGTGAGTCGACTCTTTAAACGTGGCACGCCTTTGCTTTTAAGCATGTAGAATCGATATATATATGCAAACACGCGCTGCAGTGATCCAAACGAGTTCTGATATTTGCAATCGTAAGATATATCCCTGTTATCAGCGATGATCAATTCTACGTGACGACGTTCGGCAAATTTCAGAAGGACATTGGACGTCTGCTGGTCATTCTGACTTGCCCTTAAGAAAAAACGGAGGCCCAAAAAACCAAAGATTGCAGTCCATTAGCTCAACAGGTGTTGAGCCCCGCGATATTATGTCTGCCGGGTCTGACTTTGAAGGTACATGGTGTCATCTCATTCCCACGGTGAGCTTTTGGGTACGCTCGACTCTATTAGGCACAAACACATAAAAATTCAGCGGCGATTCTCGAATCCAGGAAAGGGCAATATTGACAATACTGACATTCAGTTGATAATCCCACCACAATGGCGGAGACCAGCTCAGCTAAAAGATGGGCGGCGGAGATCTCAAGCTTGGGAATAGTCATCGTTTTCACAGGCGCAACTAGATTTAAAACATAAGAGATGACTATGCACAATACCAAAGGCTTCAGAGCGCATATATAATATAAATTATTGGCTACAAAATGCTGCTCGCAGTGAACGACTTCCTCCGATATTGTCCTTTTTTTTAAAGGTTTCACAATGCTAGTTAGCTGCGAATAATCATCGTTGATAGCAGGAGAATTCTCAATAACAGCTAATGCTGCACGCCTATCTAGAGATCTACTTACACGTCCGGATACCATCCAACCAAGCTTGGTCTTCTGTAGGGTTGGCAATTGTTCCGAAATCCGTATCTGACCGACGCACAATAAATCAATGAGGATCCCAGCCCCAATCAACAAATCAACTCGTTGAGGTTTAAAAAATTCTGGGTCTACTAGCATCAAATTTTTTGGAATCGACCAACCATTTTCATTCAAACCAAAGTTATCCTGTATTCCAGTAATTGAGTTGGTCCTGTGACTTTGCAACAATGCTTACAGATTTTGTAGAAGGCAGAAAAGAGTCCCCTATATCAGATATATGGACTTGAGATGATCGATAATCTGTTACCATAACCGATTTCAGATTTTCCAACATCCGACATCTTGTCTTCAAGAACGTGGCCATGGTCGACCTCTCTGGCAATTTCGCAATTAGTGACGATGTAGATTAGAAGACCATCTGATATCTCCTGAAATCGCCAAGGTCTGCAAATAGGAGTTGAGCTTGTCACTAAGCTCGTGCAAGTCGAGCCTTTCCACCCCCTGCAGCCCAAAAAATGGCCTTGATATGTGCCTGAAAATGCATAAAAACTTATTAACTTATTAAAACGATGCTTTAAAAGATTCATGGCCTTATCGCAGTTATCCTCGGTTAATAGTATCTAATGCAGCGACATCAAGGCATCCACGTAGATGCTGAAACTTTTCTATCTTTGGAATGCGCGACTCTTGATGAACCATTGTCGAAAACAGAGCGTAGAACTCTGGCCAATCCATGTAGTTCCCGCCAACCGAGGCAGATGCAATTCTAGAAGTCGCGAGCGGCCTATATCGAAGACAAACGAGGACATCTGCTCAAGTGGGTGTCGAGCAGTAGAGCTAACAGCGTTTACTGTGCGAGCAGCCATCAATTCCCGCGAGAGCTTAGATTTAACTTTCACATAAACGTCCGAAAACTACATGCGGGCGTCAGAAGCCAGCTGCTGCAAGTCCAGCCTTTCAAGGCTGTTTGTGCTGCATTGAAATCCATATCCATTTGCTGAATTGGCTCCAAACGGGCTTCTAGCTCTCCTCGTCTAACTTTAGCTTATAAAAATTTCGATCACTTGGTTCTATGATGTGCATTTTGAAGGCGTTTACCATGTTGAGTTTTTTCTGTTATTGAAAATGAGTTATTTTCACGAACGAAATAAACACCATGTATGGCTGGGGAGCTGCGCGAATCAATAACATTTATTGATTTAGGCTGTGCAGCTGCGTGAGCTACCGATTCAACCGTTGACTTGGTTCACTGCACCCGTCGAAGTGCGAGAAAACGAAACGAAGTCGATGTGATTGCTGTTGCGAGCGCCGAATTGCGCTCCACACCAAAATTGCTCGCTAAGTTACCCCAATAGTTAGTTAGTTATTTTCCGAACAAATAAAAATGCACGCAAGAATTAAAATTCAAATGTGCCTTTGATGGCCGTTTAATGTTTGCTCTATTCGTGATATAAAAAGTGATCGGGCTTGCCTTTTCAATCTTCTTCGAGCCTCTCCTCTTCGAGCGGAACGAAGCATCGCTCGGCTTAGATAAATTTGACATTATAAGAGCGGTACAAAAATGAGAACAAGCGAGAGCAAACAATAAACTTATGTGCTAAAGCAAACAATATTTGTTGGTGGCTGAAGGCCTATATTGCGCTCCGTATTGGGAGCGATTAATTGGGGTTCTGATCCGAAAAAATTCAACATGGATGATCTTATGACATCGAAAATCGCTATAAATAATATAGAACAGATTTCCAGCGAGTTTAATAAAGTTGACCTGAATTTAAGGAAATGGATTTCTAACAAATCTGAAACGTTAACTTAGGGATTTCTAAAAAAGAAAATAAACGAACACTTCTTTCCACACTGTCACAAATGTATGACGCGTTAGGATGGTTAGCCCCAGTAACCATTGTAGGGAAGCTCTTTACAAAATCTTTGGATTTCTGAAAAAAGCTGGGATCAGGAATTATTAAATGTTGGTCCCCAGTAATGGTCGGGTTATAAAGAAAAACTTTTAATTTTGGAGAAAATCAGAATACCGAGATGGATTCAAAGCAAATTGAATTCGATTATTGAACTGCACGGGTTTGCAGACGCTTCGGAAAAGGCATCTGCTGCAATCAATTAATAATGCGAAAAAAATATACGCCTGGAGTGATTCTACCATAACTTTGGTGGTGTGGTGCTATTTATTCCGACAATGGAACACATTTGTAGGAGCAGCAAGAAAAATGGACGAAAAGTTGGCGAAAGCAATAAAAGAAAATTTCGCGGTTGGATCTTTACTCGGGAGAGAGGGAATTGATTGGCATTTCATTCCCACGGCAGGACCTCACTTTGAAGGTTTCTGGTAGGCCGGCCTAAAATCTATGAAATACCATCTAAACCAGGTCATTGGTGACAGAAATCTGGCATACGAAGAGATGTCGACATTGTTATACCAAATAGAAGGAGTTTTGAACTCACAGCCCCTATATTTAAAAGATAAGGATATAGAGGACAATGAAGTTCTAACACCTGGCAACTTTCTGATAGGACGACCACCGTTGGATGTGATTGAGCCTTTAGATGAGAATGAAAAAATTGGGCTAAGATAGGTGAAATTTAATTCAAACAAGAAAGGAAACCGTCTTCGGCAAGCCGAAGTTCATATACCCTTGCAGCTATTGCAAAAATTAAATATTCTTGAATACATTCAAATTATGATTTACTTGCGTTTACGTTTCAAATTGTTGAAGCTATGATGATTTGCTGCTCAATTATTCGATAGTTTCAATGGCAGCTATATGTTATCGTTTTTCCGATTTTAATATAATTAAAACCTTAATTATAAACTGTCAAGTTATGATATAAAAAAATCAAAAAGAATTAAAAAAAAATTACAAAACAAAAAAGTAACATTTAAAAAATAATTTTGTTTTAATATTTTTATTGTTTCCATGAAAGCCATTACTAAACGTCGAAGAACTAAAAATAAAATTAGAAAACAGAAAAGTTATAATTTTTTTCATTTATTTTTCCGATTGTTTTTATGGAAGCTATATGCTGTAGTCGTCTGATCCGGCTCGTTCCGTCTTAAGTACAACCTGCAATAGAAAGACAACTTTTGGGAAAGTTTCATGCAGATAGCTTTAAAACTGAGAGACTAGTTTGTGTAAAAACGGACGGACAGACGGACATGGCTAGATCGACTCTCCTAGTAATGCTGATCAAGAATATATATAGTTTATATGGTCGGAAACTTCTGACTGAAATTATAATACCCTCTGCAATGGTATAAAAATAATGTACGTAGATTTGTTGAAGAATTAGAAGAACAAAAAAGTAGAATATGTTGTAAACTCAGCTTATATAACCATCCATGAAACACGGTTTTAGTTTCAAGAACTTTGAATGAAGCGGAAGTGAATCGCGAAAAATTGCGAGTAGAAACATATATTACGTTGAGGAAATGTGATATATCAACTCCTCTTAAATCAAAGCAAGCTGCCCAAGCGCTAGGATTGTTTGTAGATAAACCATTAAATATTCCCTCGCATAAATTTCAAAACTCTAATGATGACGACGAAAATCTATATTTTAGATCATCAAGAAACTTGTACTCTAATAATCAGTCAGACAATATTCAAGGAGATAGATTCCAAAATAATAACTACCAAAGATGATATAACAGCAACAGAGACAGAACAAGTTCGACTCTATTAGGAACTGGTAATCTTCTGGTAATCAATATTATCCTAGATCCTTCCAAAATAATCAAGTACCCAGACTACTCAGAGTACTAATATTCACCAAAAACGTGCCAAGCCTCAGATTCAGGACAACAACGTAAGACTGAGCCAATGTACACAATTGAAAAATTTCAGACAGCAGCATCGGAAGAAACACCACCGCAATAAAAATGCAATGCATGCCTCTTTCTTATTGATACGGGTCAAGCATAAATTTAATAAACGAAAACATTTTAAAATATCCATCTAAAAATATTTTGACAAAAGTTCAAATGATAGGAAAATCAGTAACTTAAGATAAATATATCGTATTTAGTATTCCAAAATTATTTTCATCTAAACAAACATTTTTCTTAAAAAACTTTTTAAATATTATGATATTTTTATAGGAAGAAAAATTCGAAAAGAAACCTCAGCCAAAATTGATTTTATGAGAAACACTATTAATCTTAATAATTACGAATTTCTAATGGTAAATATAACAGAGGAACGTAATCAAACTCTTTCAAGTATAATAAATGATGACGAATATATTTATGCCATGCAAACTGACTTAACGAATAATTATTTAAGAGACGATCACTTAAATAATGAAGAAAAAACTGAATTTCTTTATTGAATGTCCAAGTATTTTGATATTCCGTATCGCGAAGGCGACGATTTGACTTACACGAATGAAATCAAACACGTAATAAAAACAAAACAAGAAGAACCAATTTATAGGAGACCATACAGTTATTCCTACATTAATGACACAGAAGTAGAAAAACAAATTAAGGAAATGATAAATCAAGGTATTATCAGAAAATTAAAATCTCCTTATTGTAGTCCTATTGCAATGGTACTAAAGAAAAAAAATGCATCGGGCATTCCTAAATTTCGTATGTCCATTGATTCCAGAGGACTCAAAAAAATAACTGTGTGATTTTTTATTATTGTTTATTATTGTTTATTGATTAGTTATTAAGTATTAGAAATAGAAATACACTTTTGCAAAATTTAAATTGAACAAGA